CTGCAAAATCATCCAGGCTTATGTGATGCTTTCCCTATCCCAGGTCTGAAATCAACCATTTCTCCAGGAGCCTTGATTACTTTTATTGGGAAAATTGTATTTAGAAACCAATACCTGGCCAAATGTATTCATTGCCACTTTGTCATTATATCTTTGTCATTGCTTCTCAGCAGACAGATTAGGAAATATATATACACACACACACATCTGTATACATTTTTATTTCTATATGTCTGTATATATATTAAAAATCATTAGATCATACTAACACCTATCTAGCACCACAGGGTTCATTCTAGACTGCCTTCTTTCTATATTTATAACTGTCTCCAACAATAAGAATCATGACTGTCATTGTCTAAATTTCCTTATTTGCTTGTTCCTGGTACATATATATTAAGTAGTTTCAGAATTAATAATCATGGTCTAGAGTACATATGTTTATGTATAGTGCTTTTTGTCTATAGTTTTATAGTACAGGCATACCTCATTTGATTACACTTTGATTGTGCTTCCAAGGGTTTTTGTTTTCAAATTGAAGGTTTATGGTAACACTGCCTCGAGCAAGTCTATTAGCACCATTTTTCAAATAGCATGCGCTCACTTCATGTCTCTGTCATCTTTTGGTAATTTCTGCAGCATTTCATACTTTTTCATTATTATTATATCTGTATGAGGATCTGTGATAACTAATCTTTGATGTTACCATCGTAATTGTTTTGAGAGAGGCCCCATGAACTGCGCCAATAGAAGACTGAGAAATTAATCAGTAAATGTGTGTGTTTTGATGCTCCACTGACCAGGTGTCAGCCTCAAGCCTCCCTATTACCTGAGATATAACATTACTGAAATTAGGCTCATCAATAACCCTAATGGCCTCTAAGTATTCAAGTGAAAGGAAAAGTCACATGCTTTTCACTTTAAATCAAAAGCTAGAAATGATTGAGCTTAGTGAGAATGGCATGTCAAAAGGAGGGACAGACTGAAAGCTAGGCCTCTTGCTCCAAACAGGTGGTCAAGTTATGGATGCAAAGGAAAAGACCTAGAAGGGCATTTAAAGGTCTACTCCGGTGAACACATGAATAAGAAAGCCAACCAGCCTCATTGCTGATGCAGAGAAAGTTTGAGTGCTCTGGATAGAAGATCAAACCAGCCACAATATTCCCTTAAACCAAAGCCTAATCCAGAACCAAGTCCCTAACTCTCTTCAATTCTATGAAGGCTGACAGAGATTAGGAAGCTTCAGAAGAGAAGTTGGAAGCTAGCAGAGGTTGGTTCATGAGGCTTAAGGAAAGAAGCTATCTCTATGACATGAAAGTGCAAGGAGCTGCCACCTTGCTAGAAGATCTAGCAAGATAATTGATGAAAATGGCTACACTAAACAACAGGTTTTCAATGTAGATGAAACAGCCTTCTATCAGAAGAAGATGACATGGAGAACTTTCGTAGCTAAAGAGAAGTTAATGCGTGGCTTCAAAGCTTCAAAGTACAGACAGACTCTCATGTTAGGGACTAATGCAGATGATGATTTTAAGTTGAAGCCAATGCTCATTTACCATTTTGAAAATCCTAGGGCCCTTAAGAACCACGCTAAATCTACTCTGCCTGTGCACTATATATGAAGCCAAAAAGCCTGGATGACAGCGTATCACTTTATAGCATGGTTTACTAATGGATCTGGACAAAGTGAATTGCACACCTTCTGGAAAGGATTCACCATTCTAGATGCCATAAACAACATTTCTTGGCTGGGCACAGTGTCTCATGCTTGTATCCTCAGCAACTTGGGAGTCCAAAGGTGAAAGATCGCTTGAAGCCATGAGTTCAAGACCAGCCC